AGGGCTGGTGGGGAGGGCAGAGGGGGAGGGCTGGTGGCCAGTGTGTGTGCCAGGTAGCTCCTCCAGCAGGGTTCCTCTGGCTCACTCTTCCCAGTTCCTTCATTTGCAGACCCTTGGCGACCCATCTCCAGTCCAGTGCCGCACCCCACAGAGCATTCACACACACTACCCACTCTCTCACTCAGCTCACAGCCGTGTGTGCTTGTGCACAAATGCAGTCTCCCAGACTGTTAGTGCTTGAAGGGACCACAGTGAGTATTTGGAGTAGACAGGAGTATCCACATGCACACGTGTGTGCTTACACCTGGTACATATTTTGGGGTGTACATAAAATGTGCACATCCATCCTCACCCCGTACATCATTTCCTAGCCCAGGGGGCACTCCGAGATGGCTGAGAACGCACACCACTCCTGTCCCCGGAGACCTGCTTGTGTGTGTCCCCTCCTGGGCTCACTGTCTATGAGGGCGGCCTACTAGGCCACACGCCTTGGTCTGTGAACAAACTCCTAAGTTATTTTTCCACCCGGGAGCATCTGCTGCCATGAATGGGGCTTCCCTGGGCTTTGGAGGACTGGGAGGGTTGGGCGGAGCTCAATAAAGAAGGGGCCTGGCCACCGGGCCAGGGTGGGACCCTGCCACAGGCCAGTTTCCCCGCTCAGCCTGTCCCTGAGAGGTGGACTCGGCCCTTCCCTCAGCCCTGCCTGCTGTGGCTGCTGCTCTCTTGGTAGCCAGAAGCCCTGAGCACTGCCTGGTAAGGCGCTGGCTGAGATCCAGGCCCGACGCCTGCAGCCTGTCTCCCTCCTCTGCAGGGCTTCAGCAGCCTAAGGCTCCGGCCCATCCGCACACTGAGCTCTGCCCTGGAGCAGTTGAGGGGCTGCAGGGTGGTCGGCGTCATCGAGAAGGTGAGTGAGCGGACTCCCTTGGTGACAGTCAGGCCATCTGTGCCATTGCGGGGAGAGAGCAGCCACTCTGACTTCCCCAAAGGGGGTTGGAAGGAGTCTGGGGGCACAAGGGGAGGAGGACAGCTTCGTCCAGTGGTCCCTCAATCCTTGCCTGCCCCAGCATACACACAGCAGGCCCCAGAAAGGAAAAGAGGAACAGGAGAGCGGAAGACTCTCTGCAGCCCCCAGCTCAGGCACAGAAGACCTGCTCCCTGGGAGACTCAGAACAGAAGCCACAGGAGGAGCTGGGCCCAGGGCGCCCTGCCAGCAGGCCCCACTCTGCTACTTTCCACTTCCACTTCCCAAGGCCCCGCCCCTGCACCCCAGGGAGACAGCCAAGTCTCTCCCACCAAGCACAGCCAAATCTTCCCGAGGCAAGAAAGCGCTCAGCTCCAGCAACCTGGCCTGCCGGGCTCCAGGTGGACGCAGGACCGTGGCAGCTCGGCCCTTTCTTTCCAGACACGCCCTCTCTCCTGCTGAGCCAGGAGGACCCTGCCTCTTAATTCAGAGCAGACTGGACGATACGAGGTCCCCCCTCATTAGCGTGGGCGTTTCAAGGGCCAACCATTTTAGTCAGATGAGATGGAACCATTATTTGACTGCCCTCTGCCCAACCCTGAATAGTCACTAAAGCAGTTCTGAATCTCACGGCCCGTTTATCACAAGCACCTGGGCAGCTTCCTCAAAATACAGATGCTCAGCCCCACCCCAGACCCACTGAGTCCGCATTTCTAGGCTTGAGCTCAGGAATCTCTCACAAAAACACTCACTGGGGGATTGAGTGGGTCTGCGAACCCACAGAGAGACCACTGTGGGCTTCCCCATCTCCAGAAGGAGGAAGTGCTGTCCGGGTCCCGCACAGTGTGGCCAGGGCCAAGTCCCCCCACCTCTCAGAGCTTGGGTTTCCACATGGGCAAAAAAACCTCCCCCACAGGCTCATCGGGGAATTCAAATGAAATAATTGTTGGGAAAGGCCTGGCACATGCTAAAACAGTTGATACATGCTTAAGGGCTCTCCATGCCAGCGACAAGAGCGAGTTAGGAGGTGCAGGCGTCCCAGGCCCGGCCTGGCTCCAGCTGCTTCCCCCCAGGCCCTGGAACAGGCCCCGGCCTATCAGCCAGGGCCCAGCCACCTTCCCTCCGAGGCCGTCTTCTCTCCCACTGCACAGTCCCTTAGCTGAGTCACAGCCCGGGCTTGGCCTAGCACAGCTCCCTTGACTGGTGACCGACACCCTTTCCAAGTGGGATTCCCATCTAACCATAGGTGTTCTAGAGAAAGGGGTTCCAGGTCAAACAAGTTGGGGCAGCCGTGAGTTAGTCACATGGCTTTGTTTTTCTGACTGTAGTTTTCCAGAGCTTATAGGGTGCAAATGTACAGCCAGAGTCTCAGGCAGAGAGGTCTGTGACACAGAATTCCCCAAATTGGTTGAACCTCAGGACGCACATGTGCAAAGCATTTTCAGAACCCGCTCTTCTGGGGCCCCTGCAGCTGCAAGGCACAAAATTAAGGCCCAGTCCCAGCTTCTGTTTTGACATTGTCCTTCTGTTTTGCCCTTTCTTGGCACTCGATTTACCTGCTCACCTCCCTCCCAAATCCTGCTTCCTTTCTGATCTCCAAGACAGGAACACCACTTTCTCCCAAGGCCTCTGTCCCAGGGCCCTGCAGTCTGGCCTGCACCTGTGGCGGCCCGGTGCCAGCTCTGCCTGGCAGGTGCAGGTGCAGGGGTGCAGGGGCAGCAGAGGGCTGGCTCAGGAAGCCCGGGGCCTCCTCTAACCCAGTGGCTAGAGCCAGCCGGGTTGAGGAGGGGGGGTCTCTAGGGGCTGAAGGTATGCTGGCAGGAGAGGGGTGACAGGGAACAGTGAAGTGGGTGGGCAGGGACCAGACCTGCTCCCTGGGAGCTGAGCGCCTGGGAGCCATCATCTCAGATTTGCTGAGGCTCCTCCAGGAACCAGCTCTGAGTCAGGGGTGGGGAAGAAAAAGGTCATCCAAGTCACTTCTTGTTTTTTTGGTTCAAAAATGGGTTGTTTTTTTAAATTAGTTACCAAAGTTTAAAAACTGGCCGGTTTTATATAGAAGTCCAGATTTCCTGCTTCTCCTGAAAAATCAGGAGCTCTGGAAATGCTGGCTCACTTCCAACGAGGCGGCAGGGACAGAGGAGGGCCTGCCCCCTTCAATGGGGCATCCGTCCCCCTGTTCGCTCCTGCCCCGCCCTGCCCCTTGGCTCAGCTGTCAGCCCTTGTGGGCCTTGGAGTTTGAGAACCTGTTTGAAACATTTGAACTTGTTTGCTCCATGAAAGAGTCCTCTGGGGTTTTGATCCTTTGGACATGTGTAAAGAGAGGACCCATATGTTTCTCCAAAGCTTTCACTGTTCCCATGTCCCAAGAACTCAGTGGGGGTTCTTAAAATAAATAAGGCTTCCCTTTCCACAAAGGTGAGAGCAGCCCCCCAGAACTACCTGTACATTCTATCAGCAATGCTCAAATACTTACTGAACATAAGACACGTTCTTGTTAGCAAAGATGTTGCAGTAAAGCCTCTCCGTCACCCTGGGGAATAAAGCATATTCGGTGTGGTCCCACCCAGGAGCTTCTGGCCACATGAGACCATTGCAATAAAAATTAATTAAAATTAAGTATTCTGTTTCCCAGTCTACCAGCCACACCTAATAGCTTCCATATTGGCCAGTCCAGATATGTAATATTCCCCTTAGGTCAGAAAGCTCTGTGGACAGTGCTGCATTTTAACAAGTGTTTTGCAGGTCACGCAGGCTGCAGTCGAGGTGCATGGAGGTCACGTGATTAATTAGTGCTCTCATCCCCCATCGCTCTTAGCAAAAGAGGAAGGGGATTTTTTTGGTGTCTTGGTTCCGTGGGGAAATGCTCCCTGTGCTACTGTTATACTTTTTTGAGACATAACCAAAAAAAATCTTAAAACGGGAAAAATTCCCTGGCCAGTCTACCAAACGCCAATGTAATCACTATTAGATATTCATGTTCTGGTCTAATTCTTTCTAGGCAAGTATATGTATTTATATATTCTATGTCTATATACTATTTTAACACATTTATTTCCATGTGCCAATCAAGTTTTATTTCTGGCTTCCTCACCTCCACTGCTATTTTTTTTAATTCGTATTATGAGAGAGGCTTGCCCAGGACATGGTGGTGGGGAATCCCACTTGGCAAGGGGCAGTGGGGGATTATCCTGGGCTCAGCACTTGTGGGAAACTGTTCTCCTAAATGACCCCAGATTTTTCTGCCTTTCTTTTTCAAACATTGCACAAGTCTGGTCAGGGAACCCGGGCAGGCTGGGCTGGGACTCTGGCTGCTGGAGGAGAGACCTCTGGTGGCAGGGAGGCAGCCTTGCTCTCTCGTGCCACAGGGAGGGCCCTGGGGTGTCTCCTTCACCGTCATTTCACTGATGCTGGGGAAACTGAGGCCCAGAGGAGCAGGCACATGGCAAGTTCACCCAGCTGTGCCCCGGTCACAGGTTCCCAGGATCTGCCTGCCTCTGATCCGGGGCAACAGAACCTCTCAATCTGTTTCTTCATCAGGGGAAGGGGTGTGGGAACCAATCCGGTGACCCATACAGCGCGCTCAGCAGCGTGAGGGCTCCAGCCGGACCTCACGTGACCGTAGCCACTGTGGGCTCCCCAGGCCCCACGCGGGCACCAGCGGTTCGGTTCATGCCCGCCTGTGCCCTGCTGGGAGGAGGTGCGGCAGGAGCGCGGTTCAGAGGGCAAACAGATCCCTGACATTCTCACAGCTTTATATTTTTGCTGTGGCCCTTTATGGCCTCAACAAAGCAGTTGTATGGGGAGGTGGCCATTTGTATTTTCTGTTTGGTAGTTGAGAAAATCAGTTAAATCCACTTAACCAAGACCTAAACCCAGTGCCCCTTCCCACCACAGTCCTAGGCTGTGAGTGTCATCACTGCCCAGAGGACTGGCCTTGGGCCCTGGCTCCCACCTGCCACCATGGGGGCTGTCTAGAGGGGAGGCCGGTAGCCAGGCTGCTGGTCTGGCCCCCACCTGCCCCTCGTTTGGTCCAGCTCTTCCACCTTCCTGCCCTGACACGCCCAGCATTCCCCTCCTGTGGCTGGTGCTCTCTGCCGACCACAGAGATGAGTCAAAGGCCCAAACCCAACCCAACCCAGCAGAGGCCAACTGCTGCTGCCTCTGACCAAAACCAACAGGTGGAGGGTGGGCTGGCCTCACAGATATCTCTCAGCGGGCCAGCTTGAAGGAGCAGATCCAGCCTGAGTGCTCCTGGGTTGGGCTGGGCCGGGCCACAGACCTGGAGCCACGCCCCAGGGCTTCTTCAGCTGTAAAAGGCAGTCAGAGGCCGTGACTGGCGCAGAGCCCCTTCCGTCTGGCAGCCTCAGATCCTGCAGAGTGCACCCCCTGCCTCATACATGCAAAGTGCCATTCCCACACCGTGCGGAGCTCCAGCTCACGGGGCTCACAGCCCTGGGAGAGATGAGCAATCAAAGAGGCTTCCCAAGGGTGGGCCAGAGACCCCTGGGGACAGAGGAGGGGCTCCAGACTGAGCTGAAGGTTGGGACAGCTTCTTGGAGGAGGTGGAACTAGTGCTCAGGCCTGTGGGTCTAACAAGGGCAGATGGGCAGGACAGGATCGTTGCCAGTGTGGGGGGCAGGAGACATCCCCTGCATCCCGAAGGCCTGCCCTCCTTGCCTGCCTGGGGGGTGAGTCAGAGAATGTGGGGGCTGGGGCTGGGCTGGGCCCTGGGGACTAGCTTGCGCCTTGACCCGTGCCTTGGACCTCACAGGTGCAGCTGGTCCAGGACCCATCGAGTGGAGGGACCTTCGTGGTGAAGGCAGGTGCCGCCTAGCCTGGCCTTGCTGGGTTCCCCTTGGAACTTGCTCAGAGCTCTGCAACCCTCTAGCTGGCACTCCCCTCTTCAGAACATTTATCTGAAGCTCCTGCTCCTTCCAAATCCACAAGCTGCTTGTTCTGCCCTGAGCAAACCCCTTGCCACACACACACACACACTGCCTCAGCCTTGGCCTGGAGGGTGGAGGGGCCTGGATTCCCTGGAGAGAAATGTGTCAGGAACTGGGGGGAGGCAGTTGGCTCTCAGGGTGACACCCGCTCCTGTGCAGCTGCCCAGGGCTGGGCTTGGTGGCCCCCCAGCAACACTAGGCTCTGCCCTGCCCCTCCCAGAGCCTGTCCAGGTGCCACGTGGCAAACCGGGAGCGGCTGACCATCATCCCTCACGGGGTCCCCTACATGACAAAGCTGTTGCGCTACTTCGTCAGCGAGGACTCTATCTTCCTGCACCTGGAGCATGTGCAAGGTGAGGGGCTGCGGGACCCCATCAGTTCCTCAGGCCTTTGGGGTGTTGTCCTGTCTTGTCCGCCGGGGGCCGAGGGGTGGCTTGCACCAGTGGCTGCAGTGGCCCAGCCTTTCTGGAGGAAGAGGGCAGGCCCAGGCCTCGGTGGCCTGCGTGGTGCAGGACGGCTGGAGGCAGCATCCCTGCCGGGCGGGCGGGCGGGCGGGCAGGCGGGAGGTGCCCTCCTCGCTCTTCCCTTTAGTCCTGGCTCCTGTTTCCCAGTCTGGCCCATGCTCAGGAGTGGCCCCATGGGATGGTGGTGGCTGACGCTGTGAGACAGGAACTGGGTCATGTAGCAGAGATGATCACCCAGTAGAGGGATGATTATGTAAATAAGGGACACATTTTGGGGTGGTAACAGAAGTCATCTCGAGTCCTGACCTGGCCTTCTTTGATTTTAATTATTAAATTCATGACACTGTTCTCCTGTAATATGTATACTATACATGATATGTTGGACATTGGCGAATTCACTACCTCCCCTGAGGACATTAATGATAATGCACATTTCTTTAGGGGGTTAAGCACCTACTTTGTGCCAGGTCTTGAGGTAAGAGTTGAGGAGAGGGCGTTCTAGGTGGAAAGGGTCCCCAGGGCATTCCCAGGACAGGGGCAGAGCAGGCTGGGCCTGGCGCCTCACTCTTCTCCTCCTGCCCTACCCGGCCTTCCCTCTGCATGGCCCAGGAGGCACTCTCTGGTCCCACCTGCTCTCCCAGGCACACCCCCAACAATCTGGACTCCGGCCTGGCACCAGCCTGGAGACGGTGAAGCCTCAGCTCAACTCCCGCCTCGGCCTCCAGACCCCGGCACGGCTTCCCCCAAGCCACACCTGCCCGCAGGACAGAAGGTCCCTGGGGCCTCCACGGACTTATTGGGGTCTCCCCCCAGCCAGGGAGGCCCCATTCCAGCAAGAAGCTAAAGGTGAACCCTCAGCCAGGACCAGCACTTCCTGCTGCTCAGACCTTCCAAAGGCCCCAAGTGGCCACCTGCACCCGCCAGGCAGGCGGGGACCTGGCCAGAACTCGGACACAGGGTCCCCTTGGGGCCTTTCTTGGGTTCGAGAGGGGGCTGGTCGGGTGCTAAGGGGCTGTGGCCAGGGCAGAGGCCTGAGCCGCCCCTCGTCGGATGGAGCCAGCCTGAGGCCCGGTGGGGGTGCCTGGAGCGTGAGAGAAGAGCAGGCGAGGCAGTGGGCGGCAGAGATGCTGGTGGCCCTGGAGGCGTTGCACGAGCAGGGGGTGCTGTGCCGGGACCTCAATCCCCGGAATCTGCTCCTGGACCAAGCAGGTAGGTTTGTGTTGGGGCTGGGGGAGCGGAAAAGGCTGCTTCCACCCCACTCTGCCCCCAAATGGGAGGCCCCTACTCTCACTATGAACAGCTCCCCAGAGTCAAGGGATCTGTGTCCTCTGGCCCTGCCCATCCTCTGGTGCAGGGGGCTACCTGTTCAAGCCTGGGCCCAGGAGGTCAGCCCCTGCCGCAGGTATCTAGGCGGCGGCTCCTGCGGTACCGGTGTTCTCAGCTGCAGGCCTGTGACCACTGGGGAGGCCCTGGAGAGCCCCCCACCCCGGGCCGGTGGCATCGTGATGACTAACAAATATTTGTGCCCCTTATCCCGCCCTGCTTGCACATACTGGACAAGAAGGTCACGTCCGGCTCACGTATTTTGGCCAGTGGTCAGAGGTGGAGCCCCAGTGCTGCGGGCAGGCTTTGGACAACCTCTACTGTGCCCCGGGTAAGAAGAAAGAGAGGGGCTGGGGGACCGAGGGTCTTTGTGGGGTAGGGGCAGAGGGTTAGGATGACAGCAGGCCCGGGTCTGTAGGACGAGCGGGGTGGATGCCTGTCCTCCAGGGCGACCGCGACATGTGTGTTCTTGTTCCTACAGAGGTGGGTGGGATTTCTGAGCTGACCGACGCCTGCGACTGGTGGAGCTTTGGGTCTCTGCTGTATGAATTGCTGACGGGGATGGTGAGTCGCTGGGCAGGACACGGGACCCTGGTGCCTGTCGCTGAGCACAGGATGGGCTGGGTTAGTCTGGCGGCTGGTGTCAGGGCTCAGGCTTCCTGCTTCTCCAGGACCTGGGCACTGGGCTGACGTCCAGCCAGCACACACCCCACCTCCACACCAGCCACTCCCACACAGAGACACAGGGAGCCACCTCCACTCAGGCCCAGGACAGAACCAGCACCCTCCTACACTTGTGGCTGTGGCGAGTAAGACCGCTCTGAGAGCTACATTGCGATGGTCAGAGATTCTGGAAAAGAATCTGGAATGGGGCTAAGTTTGGAGAATAGAATTTGACACTGTCCTTCTTCCCTGGTGGGCACCAGATCATGCCCTACTTTGTACTCCCCCTGCCCTTCTGGCGTATAAGCCCCAGGCTCTGGCCAGAGGACACGAGGCAGGGCCTCCTTCCCCCAGGCTAGCCACTGCCTTCCCAGCCTGGCTCAGCCAAGAGCAACAAGTTCCCCACAAACACCCTGCTCAGGGTGGTACCCTCTGCCCTCTGCCCTCTGCCATGAGCTCAGCACTACACCTGGACTGGGTAGGTCAGGTGCAGAGAAGTCAAACCACCTTTGAGCAGGAAATGGCTGAAGTGGACTCCGCATGACCCAAGGTGCAACCATCCCATCCTGACTTCCTCCTGCCCTTGTCCATTATCCAGGGCCTCTGAGAGGCCTGACTGCAAACACCCCCAAAAGAATGGATCTCTCTTCAGTATCCCACCTCCACGCTAGCCCAGGCCTGGCCTCCCTCCTGGCCACTTCTGCAGCCCAGCCTGACCGCCAGAGACCTCTCTGCTCTCCCAGCTGCCCCTCTGGGAGTGCACAGATCCTGACCCTGCCCTGTGCCATAAACTGCTGGCACGTGACAGCCCATCCATGGAGATTTTTCTTCTGTAAGACCTTTCCACACTGTTCTGCAAGCCGAGATTGCTGCGTCCAGCAGGCTTAGAGCGCAAGGACCTGGGTTCAAACCCTGAACTCACCCCGTCCCTTTCGCTCTCAGAGGGGATGGTAAAAGAGGGGGTGCTAAGACATACTTCTGAGGGTTGCTAGGGAAAATACAATGGATGGCAGGTGTCTTCCACACATGGCACACAGCAGCTCCCAGGCAAAGGCCGACCACATCGCCATGGCCACCTCCACCACCCCCACGACGGGGCCGCCACTGGCCCCGTCCTGTGGCCACCTCAGAGGCCCTCCCCGTGTCTCCACAGGCACTGTCCCACTGCCACCCCTCAGGATTCCAACCCCACACCCAGCTCCAGCTGCCTGAGTGGCTCAGTCGCCCGGCAGCCGCTCTGCTGACTGAGGTGAGGTGCAGCCGGCTTAAGGGAGGCGGATTCTTGGCCTCAGGGTGGACACCGGGAGGGCAGAACCTGTGTGGGAACAAACTTTGCTGAGTGCTAGATGTCTGGCGTGGATGAGTTTCTATACTGTCTGCCAAACCACCAGTGTCCCACAGGGGAAAACTAGGGGTTCTGTGGGCACACTGGCAATCAGCACAGGGCAGGCCTTGGCGATTCGTGTCTTGGAGCACTGGGCTGGCCTCGCACTGCTGCCTCAGCGCTGGGGCTGGGTAGGCCTGTGAGTGCTGACTGGGCCTTTCCTTGTAGCTGCTGCAGTTTGACCCTGCCCGGCGCCTGGGCACTGGAGGTGGTGGCGTGGACAAACTCAAGTCACATCCTTTTTTCAGTACTGTCCAGTGGAACAAGCTGGTGGGGTAAGAAGGGAGCAGGCAATGGATGCAGCTGGACTGGCCTGGATCTCCTCTCTCCTCTGGGCCCACCACCAGAGCTGGCCCCTGTAACCATGGGCCTCGGGCACAGCTGCCCTTCCTGCTCGCCCCTCCATTGGGCCTCAGAAGTCACCACAGCTGCTGCCCAGAGGGCCAAGGGGATCCTTCAGCCTGCTCCTGAAGTACTTTCTGGTCACTGCCAGGAAGAGGGACAGTGAGGTGCACCCTGCCAGGCAGCTAGGACCCCGCCACCCTCCACTCATCAGTCAACAGATACCTGTCGACACCGCTCCGTACTCTGAGCACCAGGCTAGGTGGCCTCTGTCACCGTACTGTCCAGTGACTGCGACAACCGTGAGGCTTTGTGACTCACTACCTGCCATGCTGTGACCACTTGGGACATCTCTGGACATTCATCTCAGGATACTAGTTCCCAGGCCCTGTGGACCCACACCAGGGCTGCCCTGGCTGGTAATTTAGCCTCACAACTGGTGGACATCATCTGCCAGAAGCAGGGGCTGGGGAGGCTGGGGAAGCGGGGAAGAAGTCTGTAGTGGGCATGGGGTGTGGCGGGGGAGCCACAGTCCCCTCTGTGCAGAGCAGAAGGGAGAGGAGGGAACAGGAGGAGGAGGAGGAGGAGGAAGGGAACAAGTTTCCTTCACAGCCCTGCTACTCAGAGCAACTTTGAAAACAGACTTAAGAGCTCCCTCCCAGCTGGCCCCCAGGGAAAGGGAAAGGGTGACCTGCCCACAGCGAGAAGAGACTGTACAGCCTGGAGCCGCTAAGACTACCTGTACCCACTAGGATTCCCATCTTGGGTAGCTGTCCATTTTTGCTTACCGTTTGCATTTTAGTCTTGAGGACCCCCTTGACTCACTGCCCGCTGTGACCTCATCCCCTTGGGAAATGAGGACCCACAATATACAGGGAGTGATTACCCACACTTTTAGCCAGAAGCAAGATGTTTCTGGCCTTTGGAGAGCCGGAGTTAGTCGTTATTAAACACAATTCCCTCCCCAGGTTCGGGGACCCTCTTTACTCCTAAGACTCATCTTGTCACTAAGATATTTCCCCAGACCTGTGTCCAGCTTCTGCCCACAGGTGTTCACTACCACCAGGTGGCGCCTCGATACTGTCCTTTAGTCTGGCTGTGAAGGCACAAACTCTTAGCTCTGGCTTAAGAGGACGAGGCGAAGGGCATCTTGTGAATGGCTTTGGCTTGCTCTGGAGCTTGCCAGCGCCACCCAATAAAGTTATTCCCCAATAAACCCTGCTGCTGCCTATGGTGTCCAAGTCTCATGAAAACAGTTAACAGAGCCCTGAGGAAGGGGGGCCTGAAAGGGTCCTCAGAGAAGCTCCATGATAGACTGGAGTGTGTCTGAGGGGGCGGCAGGGCTGATAGTGAACAGCATGTCAGCCTGTGGCCTGCAGCCCAGCTTTGAGCCCGAGGGCTAGTGCTGGAAATGTTGGGGACAGGAAGCTCTGTGGGGAACTTTACAAGCGGGTTCTCGTGGGGGTGGGAATATTAGTTTAATGCGACTTTGACATGGATAAGGACTCCCGAATCACTGAAGTTCAGAGGTTAGTGATGGGAAATGGTCAGAGCCTGGCAGAGCCAATGTTTACAGGCCTAAATTTCTTCTGCACCCCTAAGTCAGGCCAGCCTACATCCAGCTACTGTTGTGTGAAGCAGGAATTGCTTCTGAAAGTTTTAGGCTTTGCTCATGCACTGACAATGTACTCTGGCACTTGTTAGAATTCTAGTCTTGAATTCTATAGTTCTAGTCCTAGGCTAAGTCTACCTCCTTTTGGTAAGGTGGGATTAAAAATCTCTGTAGGGG